TAGGCTCTCTGTTCACCTCACAGATTGTTTCTTTTGATGAAAAGAAACTTTTTAGTTTGAGTCTATCCCATTTATTGATTCTTGGTTTTAATTCTTGCGCTATAGGAGTCTTATTAAGGAAGTTGGGGCCTAATCTCACATGATGAAGATTAGGGCCTACTTTTTCTTCTTTTAGATGCAGAGTCTCTGGTTTAATTCCTAGGTACTTGATCCATTTTTGAGTTAAGTTTTATGCATGGTGAGAGAGAAGGGTTTCATTTCATTTTGTTGCATATGGATTTCCAGTTTTTCCAGCACCATTTGTTGAGATGCTATCTTTTCTCCTGTGCATGTTTTTGGCACCTTTGTCTAATATTATATAACTGAAATTTTGTGGGTTAATTTAAATAATAATTTCATAATGTAAGCTCAAATGATAAGCATTCAGGTTAATATTACATATCATGAAAACTCCAGCAAATAAAAAAATTTTATACAAGGTAACTAGTTAATCCTTATTCTAAAATCAGAAGTGCAGCAAGAAATCTTGGAAAAAATAACTTTCTAAAGGACCTTCTTGAATAACTTATTTCATGAATACTGTTTTTTAACCCAATACAGACTTATATTCAATTATATCTTATATTTAGAAACATGGTTCTTGCCAGAGCAAAATGAAATGGCAGATGAGTACCTGTCAATTCAACTAACTTAGCAAATATTTACAAAACAATTGCTGTGTACCTAGAGCATTCCTGCACAACCTAATTGAAATACAGCATATTCTGTTTATAAAGATCAAGGTATACAAGAGGTCAAATCATATTTCTGAACTAAAAAAAAATAAAATGGCAGAGAAAATTTACAACATTTACTTTGGATAAGTACTAATATTATGGAAAAGCATATTATTTGTAGTCAGTCAGAAAAGGTAGATTTGAGTTCTGACTTTATCACTTTCTAAAGATGTAAATTTAGGAATTCAGGCTTGTTCTCTTTAATYTCTATGAGACTTGTTTTTTTAATTTGTAAGAACTTCTTTAGTCAGAGTCAAATATAGTTTGAAAGTAAAGCTATCAAGATGTCCTAGGGTAGAAGAGGAATAGAAAAACAAAGGATGACACCAAGGTTTTTACCCAGTACAATCATAAGAATGGAGTTAACATAAACTGATCTGTGAAAGACTGCAAGGTGGTATAGACTGGGGTAAAAATCAGAAGTTCAGTGTTGAAAATATTAAGTGTGAAGGTGTCTATTTGAAATTTAATTCTAATCTCAGATATGGAGCTTGATAAACTGATATGATGTTTAGGCTGTATAATTTGGAAATCATTTGCATAAAATTGATAGATAAAACTGACATACTACAGGAAGTGAAGGAAATAGGACCAAAGATAGGAGATAAATCCACCTGTGACATTGGTCAATTCTCAGGTTACCCAAGTTTAATTCATCTGATTGGGCTAATGAGTTGTGTATCTCCAACCATCCTCATCACTCCATGTATATCCCTCCTGAAGTTCCTTTCTAGGTCAAAGAAAACAATATTCCCCAATAGAGGTGGGCCATTCCATAGTCAAAGGTACACAAGTAGCTGTGCTTCTCTATGAGAAGTATATCCAGGTATACTAAGAGTTACTAAGGATACATTAGAGTACATTAAATATTTTGCTTCACTGGAATTTGGAGGTTAATATGCTTTCATTAAAATTGCACTAATTTCCTCATGATATGAGTCAACACAACAAAGTGACTCAATAAGGAATTTTAAATGTTTAGGGAAAATTGACAGTTTATTGAAATTTAAACTGATTCTAGAACTGACATAAAACTGAAGGTTAAAAAACAATATAGTTGATTTGGCAACATTGCCAAATAAAAAGTCCCTTGAAGTTTAAAAAGAAACTTTCCTAATTTTATTATGGAAAACAGCAAAATAGATATTCATTACCTTGAACTTTTTGTTTTAATCCCTTTTTTCCCACAGTGCTGGGGACTACACAGGCTACACAAGCACTCCACCACTGAGCTACACTCACAGTCTTGTTTCATTCTTAAAATTATCTTAATCTCAAAGGAAAGAAAAAACTCTCAGTCAGTTAAAATCAATAAAAGTGAATCGTCCTTCTATTGTACTCCCTCTGCCTCTAAGATGGTGGGGTCTTCATGGAACCTGATGTCCTGTTGCTTACATACAGTTGCTGGAATAGAAATTGACCTTGGGCTTATTCTTCTACTAAGGATTATAAATTTGGAATCAACTTTCTATGCTTTCTATCTATAACCCCCATTCCTTACCTATCAAATMCCTATCACCTCCCAACCAAAATTATACATTTTCAAGATTAGGAAATTAATATAGTCAATATAGCCTTTAAAAATCTCTATAAATATAGTGAATGCTCAATTGTTTCCCCTTTTGGGACTTATTTTTATAATTTTTTCCTTTTTGGATTTATAATATAAACAGAGATCCACAGTTAATACAAAAACTTCAGAATTTTATTCTAACATTCATTTAAGATTTTTAAATATTAATTATATTAATTGTAGGCATTAAAGTGTAAAAATAAAAGTCAAAGGAAGCAGAGATGGAAAAGCAGCACTTCTTTCTCCACAGGGGTAGCTATTACGTAAGTGGCCTTTGATAAACATTGAAATTTCTATATTAAGAGTTATTGTACCCCCATGAGTGAAGAAGATGCATACAATATAAGACACCCTCTTTAATAAGTCTTACCAAGCCATATGCAGAGATTTACTATAGAGAATTCTGGAGAGTCCACCACCAAATTCAGGTTTCTAGGAGTAGACTAGATCGAAATGAATAAGAGATGATGGTCAAGAGATCAGAGTAACATGTATAAAWTCCCAGAAAAATATAACTTACCAATATTCAATCATATAAAAATGAAAAATCTGAATAGTCCTATAACTAGTAAAGAGATTGAATCAGTA